CCCCAGTAGCTTAGAAGGGAAAAAATTGCTACATTCTGAAGATACATCTTTTCTTTGTTGCCTTCTGCAGAAATGCAGGCCGTGACAGAAAATTCTCTCTGAATTACATCGTCAGATACAAATAGTACACTGGTGCTTGGAGTATTAAATACTAGCGATGACAGAAAAAGTGTAAAAATGTAGTAGCTTTTGCTAAGACCTTAAAACCTTTATTTAAATCAACAATAACTATTGGGAGTTGACTCTCGATTATAATATGAGAAATAACTGTCTATTATTCACATAAGAGTAATTCTGTCCTAGCACATAAAATGTTGCTTAAAAATGGAAGTATTAACCCAGGAAGTTCTATATGATACGATCAGGTTATACTATGAAATGAAACGGCAGTAGGGATTTTGCTCACCAGTAATATTGAGAAATTACTACTAGATTAAAAATTTAGATAACAATTGCACTCATAACCATATGTTGTACCAGGCAAGACTACAGATTTATATCTTAAAAGCAAAGGGGAAAAAAGGGAACCAACAATTAACTAATTACCCTCTATATTGGCTACTTCAATTATTAGCTGTTTGTATCATGTGATCCTGTTTTTCCTGTGGGACATGCCCAAACTCAAGAAAAGGGATTTCTTCCCTCTTAATTCTTTATATTATCCTCCAAAGTAATCCTGTGCTATTTTTTTCATGCATGTGTTGTTCCTAGAAAACACGAATGGGGCGTGAATGCTGTTTTCCTACTGTTCTGTTAAAATTGGAAAATAGAAAATCATTTGGAGAAGATAAACCTAGTCCTGATCTACAGTTATACACTAAGTCAAAATACAGAAAATTGTTAAAACAGAATTCATCTAAGTTAGTTTATTGCTTCAGAAAGGGAAGATACTTTAAGGAAAACGTAACACATTGGAAAATTTAAACTTAAAAAGTGTATTGGTGTTTTGATACCTAAGTGTTACAAAACAAATTAAAGGAGCCTGACCTGTAATAAATTAAAATCACTAAAGATTTGTTCAGGTTAAAATCACTAATCCATTTATTTTTGGATTTTTATATATCACTTTAATGAAGAAAGTGCCTTGACCCTATAAGTTTAATGAATTATTTAATAATGATACACTTCATCCAGCTCCACTGCTCTAGGTTATAAATTAGAGCTTGGCATAGTAAGTAAAGTTGAACTGTAAATCTGCTGTGACTACAGAGATAATTACGTCACTAACATATGCAACATGAATACTTTTTTAAACAATAGGTGGGAAGCTGTCAGCTTCCTCTTCCTATAAATAAGTACAGGCAGAATGTGTAAGGTGACTGAAATTGAAAAGTATATTGCCTAATCAGTGAACTGTTCTGCAGCCATCTCACACTTGTGAAAAACAAAATGTAGCTGCAGCCACAGAAAATTAACCTTGTTGAAGCTGTAATCCTTATTAATTTATAGAAATGTTCACAATTAGCTGTGCTTTTAATTAACATCTGTGTTAATGTTCATGATTGTAACATGAAATTTCACTTGTTTTTTATGGTTACTATAGGATGTTTTAATGTACTTTCAAATCACTACCATAAATTTTGTATAAATACGACAGTGACGTCTTGTGACTTAATTTACAGAAACACTATAGAATGTGCAATTATTGACTCTAACAGGCCAGGAAATTACTGGTTTAGATTAAATAAAGCTTTAGCAAACAAGGGCTTCTTGGAATTATCAGTGAGTGGATTTTCCGTGGATTTAGGTTTGCACATAAATATTTATTAAGTAGTCAGAGTGTTGTTTAGAAAGTGAGGTTATTTTGTCAATAGGGAGTAACTGTTCATATGCAAATAAAGCTCTTCATTGATTTTCATTGCTTAGTAGTTAATTCTTCTGTTTTCCTACATTTTAAGATAAGCTATATACCCTGTGCCACATTCTCATGCACTGTAAACATTCTTAGACTGATTTCCTTCTGAAGATAGACTTGGGAATTTTCTAAATTCCTAAATGTGAACAGATTCCAGCTAAAACTGCAAAAAGTAGGAAGAAGCAGGAGAGTAAAAACTGCTTGTGGTGATGATACTGATCAGGAGTGACAGGACAATTTGAGGAAAGCTTACAGCTCAACAGGAGTAGCGGGAGTATTGTGGTATGTTTTCTCTGGTAGTGATGTGGAATCTTTGGATGAAAAGCTGGGGAATGTACTACTGGGTGATTTAGCAGCATGCTTCTTGTTCCTGGTCAAGTTAAATACTGTGTATTTTTCTCTCGTGGTACTATGCAGAACGATTTCTTTTTCCTTTCCCCTGCCCCTCTCCAACCTCCCCCAGTGAACTTAGAACACAGATTTCAACCTTGTTGACCGCTAGAAACCTGAAGACTAAAACATTTCTCAAAGACTGGAATCTGAATAGCTGGCTTGGTGACCACTCAGCTGTTGTAGAAATGCTGTAATTAAGCACAAGTCTGTGCCTTCTCTGGCAAATGCAAATTCTATCACTGAATTTACAAAATATCTTAAATCCAGGACCCTTTTTTTTTTTTTTTCCCAAATACACTCGGAGTCTGTGCCTCCTGGAACCGTGCACAATTGTATTCTTAATATTTTTAGAGGGAGGGTGCTAGAGGGGTAAGTTCTTATACTGCTGGGTCACCCAGCCATCTTCTGAGGCCCAGTTTGTTCAAATTCAGATATAAAATAGTACATGTTTTGAGGAGGCTCAAAATGTCTCATGCCAATCGGTCTACGATAATTTTGCTGTAAGAGAACTGTGTGAATTTTATTATTTTTTACAGATGCGCATTTGCAGTTTTCTGTCACTGTTTGCTGCTGTGGTTATGTGACTGAATGTGACTGAGATTACTTGAAAACCACAGGAAGAAATGTTAGCATCTACATAGCAGTGGCCTTTCTTGGTTACACGTTTTTAGTGTCGCAAAATGATTTTTGTAAAATGCAGTTTTAAAATACGTTTTATGCAGAGATGAAGCCAAGTTAAGAACAGTTTGTACAACTACTGGTTTCCACCCTCAGGTCATACTATGTTGCTCTGAGAGATGCCAAAATACTGCATTGCAAACTAACTGCCAACATGATCTGAGGTTTGTCTGGTTGCCTGAAGCAGAGTTGTGGTTTTCTGGGGTTTTTTGTTTTGGTGTGGTGGGGCTTTTCCATTTAAATTTTGTTAATTGGGATAGTTGCATTATTTCACCTCACTACTCTTTCTTAGAGTTGCCTGCAGAGTTTATATACTCATAGGTCCTCAGTTCATACATGGAATATTTGTTTCTCAGTCCTGGAAACTGGGGAAAAAAAAAAAAAAAAGGAATATGATTAAAAAGAGTTGGCCTGTTTTATAACCTACTAACTTCTGCTGCAAAGATTCTAATACGATTTTAAGATGACTGCAAGTTCTAGAGCTGTCATTTTATTTCAAAGCTGGTATTGCCACATTTTATCAACAGGTTTTAATTACTGGATTAAAAAAAAAAGTAGTTTCATCTACTACTCAGCAGAATCACAAGAATTGTAGACAGCTACTTAAATCTCAGGCATGCTTTAACTATACATGTATTGGACAGAGAGAGGGAAAATTCACTCTGCTGATTTTGCTTGCCTTTTGAAAAAGAACAAGCGCACTGTTTAAGCAGTGCTGAGTTGGGAGGACACTTTTCTAGAGGGTAATGAAGTATCTAAATTTATATATAAATTTGGACTCATAAGATCTGTGGATTGCCCTTGTTGCAGCAAAACAACAGATTGTTTTTGTGACTTTTCTCAGTATAACAAGCATAGATTCAGCTATACCAACACAAAATCTGTGTTTTTCTAGAATAACAATTATAACAATAAAGACATCTGTCAAGTTGAGCCCTCTAGTAATCATGCATGTGATCCTTCTTTCAACTATCTAGATACAGCCATGCTGAGACACCTTCAAGTTTATACAGCGATGCTCAGCCAAAGGGATTCTCTAATTCACAGACACAGTTCAGGCAGTTTCTTCCATTGCTGTGAACCATGAGCACATGTAGATGACTCAGATTATTGTGACTACTGTTCTCAAATCTGATGGGGAAAATAAAGTGTTTTGCTTGTGGTAACAATAGCTCAATTTTAGTTAAAACACCCCATTTTTCTCTCATGTCTTGTGTGTTCTCAAAATAAAATACAGGGAAACATACGTAAGACAAAGGCACTTGGTTAGGAAACCCCCTGAGTGTGAAGTGTCTGGGCACCCTGCACATGGGGCCCAGCAGCTGCTGGAGACGAGGCTTTTCTCGGAAACACATACTGCCGCAGCCATCGCCCCGCTTTCTCGAAAGCCCGTACTACCAGAGCCGCCTCAGCCCTCCGGCCGCCCCCGGGCCGGCCAACTCCGACTGAACGCAGACGGCCAAGCACCAGCCCCCACCTTTCCCCCTCACAGCACCCTGAGGAACGGCTCAGCTAGAAACCCTCGAGAAAAATCCACCTACACGCCGGCTCTGGGCCGGTCAGTTGTGCTTCACACTTCACCTTTCCACTGGGCGTTTCTGTCCAAACCCCCGGGTTCCGCCATTTCCTGGACAAGCGCGGCCAACCCTCCCCAGCTCCCGCCCTTCGGGCGCGGTACCGCTGCCTCCGCTTCCCTGAACGGCGCATGCGTACCGCGCAAGCACATGCGCAATGGTACCGGCGGGCCGGCGCGCATGCGTGGAAGTGGTCGGCGTGTGTGAAGCGGTGGATTGGGAGGAGGCGTCCGGGCAGCCGGACCAGGAACTGCTCCAGCGGTGGCTGGGCGGGGGACGGGGGGACGCCCGGGCCTGCGGGGGGGGCCCGGG